AATAGGAGAAACAAGTACTAAGGGGAAAGAAGTCCGAAATTTCTTTTGGGCATAGAGCTAACTAAATGCAAGCGATAAATCCGCAACATAGAAAAATGCTAAAAAGCAAAAACACCTCACTAGTCTATATCTACAACATCAATTTTTAACCACACAAAAACTTTATCAACAAACCTCTAAATTTTGTTATTCATTGGTATTTTTCTTCCAGCTTGAGAGTATTTTCCATGAAACTCTTTGTCAACCAAATTGTAGTTTCTCTAGGAGAAACCTTTTCCAGTCCAAACGGCTTCAACAACACCCCCAGTTCTACCCACCCCAAAAAAAACACCCCCAGTTCAAGCAAACCTTCCAATTCGAACACCTACACCGTATTTCCTAAGCACAATTTTTGAGATATTTGAATAATCGAATCATATCTCTTCACATCACAAATGTTTTTATTTGCCTTAATTTGGCATCATCTAACATAATCTAACAATTCTACTTTGGAACATAATTTAAAATTGCTTTGGTTGTAATTGAAGGATAAATTACCATTAACCTCAGGAGCTTAAGTGAAATATCACATTAATGTTGGTAGTTTTAATTTGAATAATTTAAATTTTATATTAGAAAATATTTGAGACATTCAAAAAGTATTTCAATATAACTAAAGAATTTTTTTTATTATAACCAAAATAGTATCATAATCAATATTACAATAAATCATAATTAAAACTCCAATGATTTATAATCAAAATCACAAAAGTTGTAACTTGTGTACCATAGAAATTTTCAAATGATAATTGCTTAGAATATACATATTTTTAATTTGCTTGTATCAATATGAAATATGCTTTACATATATAATTACTAAAATTTATTTACAAAGATTAAAAAAATGAAGAAATCGTTACAAAATTTTAAAAAGATAAAAAAAATATTTATTTTTTACTTTATAATTTATTAAAAATCAATTTACAATAAGAAAAAATAAATAAAAAAATTATAATACCAAATAAAAATCAAATCAACTACCCAAACTAATACTTAAGCCATACTTCATCTTTTATTTTTAGTTACAAAATTAAAATTAGATAACGGTCCTTTAATTTTGCTAATTCTCTCTCTCTCTCTCTCTCTCTCTCTCTCTCTCTCTCTCTCATCCCTACTGTTCGCAACCCACTATCTCACTCCTGCACATTCACCTCTAAGCCTAATTTGAGAATTTTGACTTTTAACTTATTTTGAGTCATATTATTATTTTTTTTATACATTTTTTTTTAAAAAAAGTAAAAAAGTCAAAAAAATAGCTTTTAAACAATTTCTCAAAATAACTCTAAAAAAGAGATGATAGAGATGGATGAAGGTAATTTTTTTTTTCCTTTATAGAATTTGTATAATTTAAATTTTTAATTGATCCTTGCCTTTCTTGGGCAGGTTGAATATTTTCATTAGCATAGTAGATCATCAAGATATTTAAATAATAGAAAATAGATTTGTTTCAAGCAACCAACAATGCCAGGCTTCGCAAAAGAATTTCACGAAAACCATCCTGAAGTCGTGTTGATGAACCTACTAGTTGATACCTTTCATTGAGGCAATCTAAAATTTTCGTTATGCCGCAACTTATCGTCAGCCAACATTGACAATAAAGAATCAAGAAAATAGGAGAAACAAGTACTGAGGGGAAAGAAGTTCGAAATTTCTTTTGGGAATAGAGCTAACTAAATGCAAGCGATAAATCCGTAACACAGAAAAATGCAAAAAAGCAAAAACACCTCACTAGCATATATCTACAACATCAATTTTTAATTGCCCAAAAACTTTATCAGCAAACCTCTAAATTTCATTGTCGGACGAAATATAGAACTTCATGTCAGCCATTCATTGGTATTGATCTTCCGGCTTGAGTATATTTTCCATGAAGCTCTTTATCAACCAAATTATAGTTTTTCTAGGAGAAACCTTCTCCAGTCCAAACGGCTTCAACAACACCCCCAGTTCTATCCACCCAAAAAAAACACCCCCAGTTCATCGTACCTTTCGTCTTGCAACAATCTCGCACTAAATTCTGGCAAACCCTCCAATTCGAACACCTGCATCGTATTTCCTAAGCACGATTTTTGAGATATTTGAATGATTGAGTCATATCTCTTCACATCACAAATGTTTTTATTTTCCTTACTTTTGCATCATCTAACATAATCTAACAATTCTACTTTGGAACATAATTTAAAATTGCTTTGGTTGTAATTGAAGGATAAATTACACCATTAACTTCAGAAGCTTAAGTGAAATATCACATTAATGTTCGTAGTTTTAATTTGAATAATTTAAATTTCATATTAGAAAATATTTGAGACATTCAAAAAGTATTTATAATTTTACTCATATTGATGTGACAAGATAAGTGTCAACTTTTAATTTATTACACACTTAATTGTGAGTCTAATTTCCATGCCACATCACTGTAGGCAAATTTGTAACTCTCTAACATTACTCTTCTATATTTTTAATTTTATTATAATATGATCCCTTCTTCAATTACCGTTTCAATAACTGAAAAAAATCATCAAAGTAAAATTTAAACAAAATTAAAATAACTATTAGTGTAATTTACAAATGATAAAAGTGCAATGTGGGAAATGCAAAGAAAGCAAGAAAACCTCACTAAGATCTACAATATGAATTTCTACCCACGTGAAAACTTAATTAGAAAAACTCTAAATTCAAGCAACCTTCATGATTGGTCCACTTTTGAAATTTCTTTGTGCAGTGCATATTGTAATTACATTATTTTATTATATTTTATTTTTAAAATAAATTGGGAAAATAACTCCCTGTTATATTTTTATTTATTTATTTGTTACCTCCGTTGACGAGTAGAACGATAATGTCATGCGTGACATCAGCATATCAAAAAGCACCTAAAAAGCTGGACTGTGACGCGATCCATGACGTCAGCAAAAACCCTCACCTATATATGTAGGAATGCATTGCATTGTAGAGTTGAGAAGCAGAGGAAGAAGAAAGATGACTGATTTTCAGATGTCCAAAGTTAGACTTGGAACTCACGGGCTTGAGGTAACCAAACCAAAAAACCCTATTTACCCTTTTCGAATTCCCCACCCATACTTGCTAATGTAATGTTTCTGTTTGAGGATTGTTTTGGGTATGTCATAGTTTTTTGATTTTTTTTTTATCTTGAAAATACATGTAAAAAAAATAAATGTTTGATATGACTGAAATAAGCCAATAAGTTAATAAATTGATTTTCTATATAAATGTTGTTTCAATTCTTTAGACTCCAATCACATTATCATCAACAAACTTTTACTTTTGTTTTGTGTATATATATATATTAGAAGGTGCAAGTGCTATGAAAATCAACCAGTTGAATATGGAAAGAGAAAAAGAAAATGAAAATTTATTAAAATTTAAAATCAAAATAGAAGGTAATGAGAGTGAGAAGAGAGTGAGAAAGTCTATATTGAGTAATGAGCAACAGTTGATTTTACATTTTAATCCAAACAAATGGGTGATGATTCAGAGCTCTAGAGCTGGGGCTCTAACCCAGCTCTAGTGACGTGAAAAAAAAAAGAAAAAAAAAGAAGACACCAAAACAGCACATCACATGGGCCCATTATTCGCTAAAGCTCCATTAGAACTCTTATTTTAGAGCAAGGTTTTGATAATAGGACTGGATCAGCAGGTTTGACCAGTTGAACCGTCGACCGGTCGGGATTTCGGTCCGAATATACCCTCTAAACCGTTCGAAGCTAAAAATTGGCCTATTTAGAGAGAACCGGGAAAACCGACGGTTCAACCGGCGAACCGGCTGACTCGGAGCCGATTCACGGGGTTGATGGATTTGGATTTTTTTTTTTTGGATTTCTGGTAACTTTTTTTTCTTTCTTTCTTATTTTATATGTATATATAATATAAAAATATAAGAAAATTTTAATTGGAAACTCTCTTTCAAGGGTCTCCTCTTGTGAAGAATTCCATTAGGAGCTTTAAATTATTGTGAAAGTTTCTACTTATTTATAAGAAAAAAATTCTTTCAAAAAAACTCAAGAAATCCATATGGGATTCAATCAAATGTATTGGATGGAATATTGAAATTTTGATATCCTTCCAAAATTTTTACTCTTCTCTCAATCAAATTATTTGAATTAAAATCACAAGGAGGGAATATTAAATAGGAAAATTTACCAATAAATCCCATTTCACAAACTGTTAAACCAATTAGTCCCAACTTTATTCTTTTGTTCGGGTAAGTCCTATCAGTGGGGAGGTTTGTTTCTTGCTGAGCCTATTTTCCATATTTGGTGTAATTGTGTGGACGGTTTTACCCATTATTGTTATTTTTCCATATTCTGTTGCGGGATCACGTGGGTCTTCCGATTTTACAGTGGCTATGTGACACACCCCTAGAGATTCGAAAAACTGCCATGTATACGCCATTCTCTACCTGGTATCTCCTCGACGGCCAAACGGGATGTCTGTGGGAGCAGAGTCTGATGAAGCGTAAAAGCTGTGTTGATCTTTTTCACTCCCAAAATCCACCGAGAGAGAGAGAGCCAGTAGATGCATGTGTGTTGGTGTCCCAGTCTATGCCGTGTGTGCTGTGTGCATTGTGTGTGCTGTGTGCGTGTAGATGCATGTGTGTTGATGTCCCAGTTTGTGTCGTGTGTACTGTGTGTGCTGTGTGTGCTGTTTGTGTGTATCAGTGTGTGTGGGTGTGTGTTGAAGTCGTCAGTGTGTGTGTGTGTATCAGTGTGTGTGTGTTATGCGCTGGGTGTGTCTTAGAGAGAGAAGAGAGAGCTGGGTTTGGTGTGTGTGTGTTGTGTGTATGGTGTGTATGAGTGTGGCTGCTGGGTGTGTGTGTTAATGGTGTTTTGTGTGCATGGTGTCTTGTGTCTGCTAGAGAGAGGAGATATGTGTGTGGCTGGGTCTCCATGTGAGAGAGAGAGAATGCTGAGAGAGATGAGTGAGTGTGTTGCAGAATGGGTTAACTATGAGCGGGTTGTGGGAACATTGAAATATCATCTATGATACCCACAAAATCGGAAGACCCACGTGATCCCGCAACAGAATATGGAAACATAACAATAATGGGCAAAACTGTCCACACAACTTAATTTCCTCTTCCAAAATTAAAATTAATAATATTTTAAAATATATTATTATATTTTTCAGTAAAAAAAATATTAGGACAAATATTTAAAATAATTTAATATTTTTAATTTATAGTTTTATTACTTATATTTTTATTTAAATATAATTTTAATATATTTATTACGTCACGGTTTGATTCCAGTTCAACCCGATGGTTGAACCGGTGACCCGTCCACCCGATTCCTTTTCCGGTTTGCTCACCGGTCCGATTTTTAAAACATTGTTTTAGAGTTCTAAAACATTTTTGAAAACAAATAATTGCTAATCAAATGTAAATATTTGGGAAAAATAAAATGTTGCTATAAGTTTTTGGGAATCAAAATTATGTGACAAAGATTCACACCAAGTGATTTGTGCGTTTTGTATAATAGAATAGATATACGTTAATGGTGGGTGCAAAATGCAATGCATTTGTAATTTTATATCTAAACTGAGTGGTTTGATGAATAAGAAAGATGTGTCGAATTTGAGAACCTGTTAACAGCTATTTATAACTGGATGTGGACTTTTAAATTAACCGAATTATAATTTGGGGATAAAAAAAGTGTGAACAATTAAAAAATTTATGGGTGTTCTTGAAAAAAGAAAAAGAAAGGAGTGATGGATTTTCAGAAAATGTTCAGATTGGATTTCAACCTTAGTAGTGGCTTCAAATCAGGCTTTTAATCCTCTTCAGCCTTCAAAAATTAGTTTTATTCATTTATTTAAATATTTTTCTGGCTGGGTTATATGCACTGGGGCTTTGTCCGTCCTGTAGTTTTCAAGTTCTATACAAAGAATTTTATTAGTTGAGCTAATTTGTACTGTTGAAATACTACTTGTAAAGCTTTGATTTATCAACAAAAATGGACTACAATAGCAAATGGACAACGTGTCTTTCTCATTAATTTTTAATTTTTTTTCCAGGTTTCAAAATTGGGTTACGGCTGTATGGGGCTTACTAGTATGTACAATTCTCTCGTCCCTGAAGAAGATGGCATTGCAATAATCAAGTATGCATTCAGTAAAGGAATCACGTTCTTTGATACATCCGAAATTTATGGGGCTAACAACGCTAATGAAATATTAGTGGGAAAGGTAATGCTTTCATTCATATGGTACCTGAGCATTTTGGGCTTGCTATGAAATTTGGTTATAGCCATTTATTGCATTCAATGTATTCTATTTATAGAGAAATATAAAGAATTTGAACTTGATAAGTTTTAAGAAAATGAAAGATTTCGTTGAAATTGTTCGTTTTGAGTATTCTTGAAACATGAGTTCTTCTCTGCTCTACATTGGGACAAAGGACCATCGGCACTATGTTGTCATATATTCCAAGTCAAGTTTTCTAGTCACACTTTCTCTGCCTTCATTTATTCTTTTTTGTTTCCGTTCCTATTTTTTATGTTGCCCATAGTGTTTTCTGGACTATACCTGACAACAAATCTTTTTTGGGGGAGAAAAACATTTTATACTTTTGAAATGTAGAAAACGTTTTCTGGACTAAAGTCTTACTAATGCCACCTCACTACCACAACCACCACTATCACCGCCACCACTACCACCACCACTGCCAGTCACAGCTGCTGCCCCACCACCACTACCACAACTACAACCATTGACACATTAGTTTCAAAGTCGTAATCAAACATATGAATGAAAATATTTTCTAATCCGTAGAAACGAATGGAGTGTAAATATGTAGAATATGATACATGCAGTGGATGTTGTCTAGAAAATTATCTTTTTGTTGGCTGTTTTCAAAGAAAAAATGAATCTATTTTTGGGTATTTTGTGTGTTAGTTATTTCAGTTGTAGATCCTAAAACTTGCAGGCATTAAAGCAGTTGCCTCGAGAAAAGATCCAGTTAGCTACAAAATTTGGAATAGTCAAACTTGACCGTACTCAAGTTGTGGTGAATGGTAGTGTTCAATATGTGCGCTCCTGTTGTGAGGCTAGCCTGAAGCGCCTTGGTGTGGACTACATTGATCTCTACTATGTACATCGGATTGACACATCAGTCCCTATAGAGGAGACTGTAAGTGACTTGTTTCTTTTTTCCATTTATCAACACACCCTCAAGTCCTGTTCTTTTGGCTCCCAACTTTAAGCTGGCTTTGTTTTTAGTGAGTTTTTCAATTTTTAGTCAATATTTTTGTACATTTTAGGTTTGTATATACAAGATGACCCTAAAATTTAACCTTTTTTTTTGTTGACAAAACTGCCAACTCTCTTATTGATTCTCTTTTTGTTCTTTCTCGTGAAAGGAATGGTACCTTAGTAGCCACTCATTTCGAATTAGTTGGAATACTTTCCTCAAATGTAAGTGATGTTCGAAATATTTACTGATTGATGCTGAATTTTCTTCATGAATGGTAGATGGGGGAACTTAAGAAATTGGCGGAAGAGGGTAAAATCAAATACATTGGTTTATCAGAAGCAAGCTTACACACAATAAGGAGGGCACATGCTGTTCATCCTATAACTGCTTTACAAATGGAGTATTCCCTTTTGACTCGTGACATTGAAGAAGAAATAATCCCAATTTGCAGGTGCTTCATTTTGCTTCCAAAATTTACTTGCATTTTATCCAAAATGTTGGAGATTCCTGCCCAATTGTTACTCTTCATTAACATAATCCTCAAAAGCACCGCTTTAATGGGAGCCCCATGCTTTGGATCACCCTTTTTTGCTTATAGAAATATGTTTATCATAAGAAGACACCTTTCTTTCAGTTTGAACTCCAAATTCTTGTAATCATTTTTTGTGATTTCTTCTTTATTGGAATTTCCATCTTAAACTTGTAGCCATTTTTATTATTTTTTATAAGACTTCCAATTTCTTTTGTTTTCTCCTTTGACCTTATTTTTGTCTAAAACATGTGTTGGTTATCAGGGAACTTGGAATTGCAATAGTTCCATATTCCCCCACTGCTCATGGGTTTTTTGGTGGCAAGGCAGTTGTGGAGACCGTCCCTACAAATAGCTTCATGGTATTGAACTGGATTTTTATCTTTTATTTTCTTTCAATTTAATTATTGTCAGATAAAAATCATCTTTTTGAACTAATGTTCTGTTTGTTTCGGCAGAAAGCGAAAGTCAACAGAAAACATTTTTTGTGGTCAACCAAAAACAAACTTATTTAAGTAGAATTATTATTATTATTTTTAAAGTTTTTGGAAGGTAGAAAACGTTTTCCAAACTAAGGTCTTAGTAACACTACCGCACTACCAACCCCACCCCCACCTCCACCTCCACCTCCACCGCCCTACCACAACCACCAATGCCATCACTAATACAGCAACTAGTAGAACATTAGTTCCAAGGTCACAACCAAATAGAGGAAAATATTTTTTGCTGAAACAAATGGAGTGCAAATTCATTCTGATATTTCCTCATTTTGGTTAGTCAAATAATTATATGAATGAATGACTAACTTAATCTTTTTATCAGCAATCACATCCTAGGTTTGCCGGGCAGAATTTAGAGCACAACATGATATTTTATCTTCGAATAAAAGAGTTGGCTAAGAAGCATAGTTGCACCCCTGTTCAACTCGCACTTGCATGGATTCTTCATCAAAGGGATGATATGGTACCTATACCTGGTGAGTGACTCACAAAATTTTGATTTCTTGGTAATGAAGTAAATGTGAGAAAAGCTATGTCAAAAATGCTACAAGTTTGATAAGTAGGAGATTGTGGTCTTTCTTACAATTCAACGTAAACCTTGCCGAAATATGATTTTTTGCTTTTGAATTAAATTAAACATGATTTCTATTGAATGATTACTTTTGATTAGTTTTTCTGAAAATTCGTGAATTTTTTTAATAATATTTGGATGTGTAGAATGTTTTAATAATTTATGTAGTGGATGTTTGTGCAATCAAGGCAAAGTTAATCAATTTAAGAATTCTAGGAAGTTAAAACAAAACTAGCTCAAGAACCATGGGATCTCTTCTTGTATTGAGTTCTTGAAATCAAACAACTATGAAGGGAAAATGGTAGATTGAAAGATTAAATTAATGTTATTGTTGGAATGTTTATTGTTAGATTTTAGAAATCGGGTTTGATTTTTGTTCTACAAGTGTTCTGTAACTTGCAGCAAAACAATGTAATGAGGAAGGAAACGAAATAAATGGATGTGAGAGAGAGAGAGAGAGAGAGAATCCTTATTGATTTTTGGTATTTATTTCACCACACTAGTTTTCAATATTTTTCCAAAAACAGGTTTTGAAAACAAACCCAAAACTTTCCAAATGTGGTCCTAAATGTTGTATTTCGAATGGTAAAGTTAGTATTTGACCTCTGATTGTACATTTGTAGGAACAACTAAGATTAAAAACCTTGATGAGAACATTGGCGCCGTAAGAGTGAAGCTTACAGAAGATGATTTAAAAGAGATTTCTGATGCAGTGCCGATCTTTGATGTAGCAGGGTCTAGAATGTTTGAAAAAGATCATCACACCACGTATCAGTTTGCAGACACACCACTGCCAAAGAATTCGAAGTGATTAGCTTTATATTTTTCAATTTTGTATTTCATCTTTGCAGTTTGTTGTGGCTTTGCTACGTTGTCTTAATAAGATTGTAATGCTAGTGCATCTTTTTTGCTAAGCATTTTCATAATGTGAGGTGAATGAGATTTCAATACCAAGTTTTATACCCAAAATGTAGCCCCAATATTGAGAAAAAATAGAGGAGAGAGAGAGAGAGAGAGAAAACCCTTTATTTTATGTGCCACATGGTAGGATGTTAGTAGGTTATTATAGATAAATTACTATAGCAAGTCGATGACTGTAACGCCCTCAAAATAATAACGTTAAACCCATTAAATAAGACATGCATTGATATACAAAAGTTCCACATTCTTTCATTCATGAGAGTTCCATTACATAAGTATTACATGTTAACAACAAAAGCAAAATGCCCTACGGGCTTACAGCTTTCCAAGTTAACACTTGGTTACAACAAAAAGAGTACTAACTCATACACACATTAAGCCCTTGGCTTGGATTTACATGTAATACATCAAAAGTAAAACA